CACATGGATTGCTCACGTTGCCCAGAGTGCGCGAACGAGGACGCAAGAGTCGGGATTGAGTATAGCCATGCAACTGAAACTGCGTACCCAGCGCAACGACTATACCCCATTGCACTCTCGTTTCAACTTTCTTGCTTTGCTTTTGGCATTTTCGTTGCTTCCCATTTAAAGAACCAAAAACTTGAATTCAACAGAATTGAAACGTGTAAAAGCAAATAGAAAACACAAAAGAGAATGAGCAAGAATTGCTTTCAAGTACTTGAATCACGTAAATCGGGTGTATGTCGTTGGTTCATGGTTATACACTGTGGATTATACCAGCCGTCACTACTCCATACGCCCGCGTACTCTGCTTAGCAGTCACTTGATTTTAAATCAAATTTCAACTTGAAACCGGGCACATTGTCGTTTACAAAATTTCAAATTTGTCCGCTGTGTTTTTTGTTTTATATGTATATTATTAAAAATTCCCTTTTTCGAGCATTCATAAAATCAAAATTAAAGCTCATCCGTGTTTTTGTGTAACCAAAAAACTCCATTAGCTCTGGACCCATTCATATCAATAGCTCTGCAGTTCTAATAAAAATCTAAGCTCTACGGCGATGTGTGAGTAAGTAACATGAAACGAATGGTAACTTCCGTAGGAGCATAATTTGTATTTGTTATTGTTTTACGTTTCGTGTCTCACCCGTAGTGAGGCTGGCAATCCGTGCCTGACAGGTGACGGCTGTGCTGGGGATGCGATCATGGCCTGTGATCAGTACTGCCCGCCCAAGTGTGACCCTTGTCAGGCACCGGTCGATTTTAAGCCGTGCCCGCCAGGGGGCGACTGTAAATGTCGCTGCGACTGTGGTGACTATGCGGGCTGTTGCTATCAACAACCACCGCGAGCCCAACCCATCCGCCCGATGTCATGCATTATGCGTTCGACAGCGCCATTGGAAACGGATACGATATATAAACGCTCCTACTTTGCAAATTGCGGGGATTGCTATCGTGCAAAACCAATACGACCATGTCCAAACCTAGTGCCGAATCCCGGCCGCATGGAATCTTTTACTGTGCAGAAGCTATCATACTTGGCACCGTGCGCACCGGATCGCACCGCACCCATACGACCGCCAGATAATGGGCTGCGCTTTTGTGGTCCACTCTATGCAATGACCTCACAGAAGCACGACTATGTGCCAAAGGGCTATAGTAAACGCAATCCCATATTGCCTATAAATGGCATCTGCAAGCCATGCGACCCACTAGAGCGATGTACCATCAATCGGTTGTCGTATATGCCGGTAGATGTATGCCGGAATCCACCACCCAAACCGATGGTACAGACTTACAACATACAACGGCCAACGGGACCGAGTGAAAAATGCACCATACAGAAGCTAAGTTATCTCCCAGTTTGTCCGGTCCCTAAGGAGCCGATGCCATGGGCCGAAAAAGTGCGTTGTGTGCCACCTCGTTATGAAAATCTCTGCACAACCTATAATCTAAGCTATCTACCAAATGGTTGTACGGCACGTACGGCTCCTGTTGTACCCATGCATAGCATTAAAACATTGGGAACAGATCGTACCGATGGTTGTACGGTGTACAAACTTAGTTACTTACCGGTGGATGCACGTTGCTGTCGTCCCCATCCAATACGTCCTAGTCCGGGTATATGCATGCCAACAGGCCCACTTGAAAAATGCACCGTACAAAAGGTAAATTTAATTTGAACTCTAAAAGGTCTCTATTTTGCCCCTAAACTAATCTGCTCTTCCATTCTTTCCACAACAGCTGTCATACCAACCCAATTGTTGTGTAGCCCGCACGCAGCCTATTCGTCCCAAAGAGAACTGTCTTAAGGCGTGCGGTCCTCTATATAATATGACCACACAGAAGCATGACTTTGTACCGAAACCAATTTGCCGCCGTCCGCCCATACGACCGCAATCGCTTATATGTCGCGCCACTGGTTCCATGGATCGCTGCACTATTAACAAACTTTCCTATATGCCTGTGAATGTATGCGAATTTAGGCGTCCAGAGCCTATTAGACCACGGCCAGGCGTGTGCCGTGCGGATGGGCCCGTCGAGAATTGTACCGTTTATAAGCTTAGTTACTTGCCCAATTGCCCTCAACCTCGACAGCTATTGCCGTGGGCAAATCAATCGTCTTACTGTAAGCCAACAGCACCGATCGAAAAATGTACCATACAGAAACTTAGCTACGGACCACCTGGGACATTTTCACGTTGCGGCGGTAAGTGGGCTTAGAAACTTAATAATTATTTGTTAACTCTGCAAGGTTAAACTTGTATAAACCCAAAAAGAGCCCAAAATACTTAAATTTCAGTCGGGTATTTTTATAACTGACGCTATAGAAAAAAATTGTCCTGTTTGGCCTGAAATAACATTGGTAATAAATTATTCTTTATTGGGGCATTACGGATATAGGTAAAAGGTAAAATTTCTCTTCTGTGCCAACTGACCCCAACTGGAAAAGCCAAAGAAAGCCAAGTCCTTCACCACTTGCTCTGCTACCAATAGCGGGTTTCGAGTTGAATATTTGCGCCGTTGTACATTTTTCGTCATATCTTCGGCACTTTCAGACTGCTCTTAAATTATGATATATGGACGTTTTTGCCTCGACGACACAATTAGAACGTTCCAGAATGTCTACGTTTTGCACTATTTAGTCCAAAGTCGTTCCCGTACGCTACGTTCACATAAGGTTTATTAAAGGCGAAAACAGCTGTTCCTGTAAAACCTGCAAATCCTGGAGTACGGGAACAGACAATTTTTATGTCCCAAGGTTCATTGACCTCAAATACCTTGTGCTAGTACTTACTCCCCATAACTCATTTCTTACCATCCTGATGTCAGTAAATCGGAGGTTGTCAAAAATAATTAGGGCCGGTTGTTCAATGTCTGGTTATCACCAACTCCCAGTTAAACATCATTGTCGACGATTTCCTCATCATGCATATAACATGTGATCGATAAAGCTGTCGTTGTATTTAAATGGAACTTCTACCTCCGATGTGTGGTAACCAGGCATGGAACAAACGGCCCTTAAACTCTTTTAGGGCCGGTTGTTCAATATCTGGTTATCGCTAGTGGCCGCTTTTCGACATAATGCATCTAACATACTTCGATCCTTCTAGTAGAACTATTTAAAAAAAGCTTTATTGCCGAATGTTATACATATGTAAGTAGGTGTCTAGAGTCCGACCGATTAATCGGCATCGGCTGTTTTTGGCCGATTCTTTTTACTTTTCCCGCAATTTTAACAAATGTTCATCGAAAATTTTAAACTGTTTAATAATCAGATTTTTTTTGAATGCGCAGTTTTTTAAATTTTATTATAATAAATCGCAAGTTTGATGTAGCTAGGTAAGCGTTAATTTTGAACAATTTGTTGTTCACGCATTTTCTTCCAAACAAAGCATGTTCGAAAATTTTTGTGTATTGAGAAAATCCGCAATACCTTCCACAAAAAAATTTCCAAAACTCAATAGTGGGTCCTAGTTACTTAAAATTTGCACTTCATCAACCCTAGAAAGATAACCTACGTCCCAGAGGCGCACGCCCGATGAACATACTTTTGTAATTTTTTTCACGAGGGGTCTAGTTATTTACGTTTATTAGTATTTATGATACGCAAATTGATAATAAGAAAGCATTTTATTTTTAAAACTATTCCCACTAATAAAATGACTTTAACATATTTATTTATTTATTTTTTACTGACTGTTAGACTTATATTACAATAACGATTTAACATTCTTATAATTAGACTCAGATTTAAAAATTAAATATTAAATAAGATATGCTCTACGGAAATTTTTAAATAACATTATCCTTTATCACTGAAATTATTTTATATCAATATAAAAGCATGCCATTGTCCAGAGGTTATGTAGACGGTTGGAAAGGCCGAGTTTTCAATCCGCGCTATACTCCGTATCTTGATTGCTCCTGGGTGGTCGAAAAGGCCGAGTTTCCGATCCACCCAGTCGCGCTTTCGTGACGGTTGGAAAGGCCTAGTTTCCAATCCGCTCATTTATTGTTTATTATCTAAGGTTTTTAAATGTACTCTGGGTAGTCGGAAAGGCCGAGTTTCCGATCCACCTAGTCTCGATATCTAGGTCGTGGGAAAGGCCTAATGCCGATTTCGTTTCTACCGAAAAATGCAACCTTCTCTTTGCCCTCTACGCTCAAACACTATGAAGAGGGCGATGAGAAGGCAACATTATTTGTAGAAACGAAATCGCCATAACTTATAGGATGCGTTCTACAATAGTCATATATAGTATCAAAATTTTTTATAGCCTCTGGTAATTCATTAAAGCACTTTAAGCCTTTATAAAAAATATTTTTTTTGTCCACCTCCGTTTTATACTTCGGGAGTCTGAAGCTGTTATTCTCTCTAACAAATATGTATACGTCTCATTTATATATGGGAGATTATCGCTAAGATAGTCCGACAGGTTGCCCTTCTTAATATTGTACACAAATTTCATAGCGTGGTAAAAAACTTGTTTTCACGCTTAGCCAATTCAAGGTTTCAAGCATACATGTTGTTGGTGTGTCGTACGTTTTTTTGAGGATGAATCTCATCCCTCGGTTTTGCGTTTTTTGCATCTTATCTAGTAGTTTATTTATTTTATACGGGACGCCAAATGTTCTGTATTTCTCTTAATGTCCTGTATTTGTCGCGTATTCAGTGGTTCGACGCCTTANCCCTTCTTAATATTGTACACAAATTTCATAGCGTGGTAAAAAACTTGTTTTCACGCTTAGCCAATTCAAGGTTTCAAGCATACATGTTGTTGGTGTGTCGTACGTTTTTTTGAGGATGAATCTCATCCCTCGGTTTTGCGTTTTTTGCATCTTATCTAGTAGTTTATTTATTTTATACGGGACGCCAAATGTTCTGTATTTCTCTTAATGTCCTGTATTTGTCGCGTATTCAGTGGTTCGACGCCTTAACAGTTCATTAAAATGGCATGCCTATGAACGAGTTTTAAGTGATGTTGGTATATGACAGGGTAGCCAACGCAACTTTCGTAAAATTCCCCACATGGAGATGCTATTTACAAAAAAAAAAAGTTGTGTATTTTGACATATTGTTGGTATTTCTGTTTATTTATCTTTTAATAATGTAATTCAGCTATGTATGTAGCCATAGACCAAACCAAAACTATTATAAAGTTAATTAACAAATAAAGAAAACAAAATTACATATAATGTTTACACCCATACAGTGGTCGAAAAAATTTTAGATCCGCCAAATTTTGGCAAGTTGTCACAATTATTATTATAATTTTTTCTTGTTATTTCTTATTTTATTTTATTTTTTTTTTTTTATTTAATATTTTTTTTTAATAAAAATATAGTTAGTTCTTTAACAAAAACCATATAAATCCAAATTTCAAACTTTGTGTAATATAAAAAAAATTCTACAAACTTTAGTCAAAATTTCGAGCTTTTTAATTAGACTTTCTAGAAATTTTCGTTTTCAAATTTTTCCCCGAAAGTGTTGCGGTTTTCTTCCTTATAAAAAAAAAATTATGTTTATTCGTTATATGAACGCAAATGCGACAAAGAAAGTTCTAAATCAACGGTAATTTGTATAATTTGCAGGATTGCATAATCAGTATTTTAGTTGCAGTTGCATTTCTTATGCGAGTTTTTTACCTCATTATAAAATTAGTGAAGCAAAAAAGAATAAATTAGTTAACACCTAAGTCTTCACAAAAAGCAGTTCATCTCCCGATTCTGCACGTGAACTGAAATTCCCCACAAAAAATGGTCCATTTCCCGATTCCCCAAGCAAATCCAAATTCCCCGCAAATCGGGGAATTCCCCACGAGTTGGCTTCCCCGGTATATGGTCCTAATTTTCTCCATAAACAGTGGTTATTTTCTTATCTAAATGCCTGTGACTCGAATCTAGGAATACATACAGTGACCAAAATGGAAATTAGGACTCGATATTTTAGTAAGTTTTAGCTATTTTTCCGAAGTCTATTAAATGTTTATTGTTTATTTTATGAAAGCAAAGCTCTTTTCCTAACAAAAAACATATAATACAAATTTTCAACTTTGTGCAAAAAAACTATAAAAATTAATTCTACAAGGTTTCACCAAAATTTCAATTTTTTAATTAGAATCTTTAGAAAAAAAATGGTTTGCAGTTTTGTAACTCATTAAAATTTAGTACTTTAGTGGAAAGTGCTGCTCATTTGCTTCTCTTAAAAAAAATGATCGGACATTATTTGTATGAAAAAAAATGCGTAACACCGTCAACAAAAAAAAACGAAATCCCAAAAATTAATGGTACGCCTTAGCGATTTAAAATTGTAGTTATTATACTAAAATTTGAGGAATTTTCTTAACAAATTTTACGGGGTAAAAATCTCGAGAAAATTAACCTACAAATTTGTTATGTTACTAACTATAAGGATACTGTTTCAGGGCTAATACATCTAGGATCTTTGAAGAAGGCTGTTGTGGAAAAAATTTGAAAACTTATTTTTTGTCCCGTATTCGGCTCTCATAAATATGATCACCGTACTTATGCGACAACTCTCTTGCAATGGCAAGTATGCATAACTGAGCCATAATAAAAGAGGTCAAAACTGACAAATCTCTCTTATTGCTCCGAAAACAGGCCAAAGGGAGTACTCTTTAATTCCTCACATTGGGAGATCTCCCTTCAGGCTCTATTGGGTTCTTATTTAATACATATATATGGCCTTATTCATAAAAAAATAAAATAGGTTTAAAGAGCTCTATAAAGTGACATTTTCATATAAAATTTCGATTTATAAAGCAGTTAAAGTGTTCTTTATTTTTTATGAAGTTGGGATAATAAATAATATGTACATAAATGACAAGTTTTTAATAACACATAATCTTTAATAATGGAAAAACTTTAATTCTTATATTCCAGGTTGTTGCAATACGAACTGCGGACCATCAGCCCCCAAAGCAGGCATATGTAATTGACCTTAATAATTTCCTTTTTTTTTTTAAGTATGCGTTCATTTACACATAAATTCTCAAATAGTCCCGTTTTCTGTTTACATTCTTAGTTTAGTTTAGAATGTAAAATTATTTGAATCTTTACTAAGTACTTTCCCTCAACTTGAATTTTAAGCAGTCAGTAGACCGGGTTCTTGGACACACGTAGTTCTTGTTTAAAAGTAAATGCACAATGTCAAGGCAAGCTTCCAACACCACTCAACTGCATTCAAAAGCAATAAACTTCACAAGCACATAAGTACTCGAAATATTGTAAATAACAATTTAAATCAGGGAAACATAACTTGGACAAAGCAATAAACTAAACCAGCAATCATCATGTTTAAAATTACTAAACCATAGGGTTCTTAGGCGTCAGTTGAAAAAGATCTAACACATCAAATGAAAATAGTTGTAATTATAACAATTGTTTCATTATCCTATATTTACCACATAATAAGTATATTCTATAAAACCAATAAAATTTGAATAGTTTCGCAAGCCAACCACATTAACATCGAGCAATAATAAAAAAACAATGTTTACGTTATTTGAATGGCTAAGCGACGCTTTGTCGTCTCTCGTCGTTTCTTGTCGCGCTTTTTACGTTCCTGCGTTGCCTCATAGAACAACTGGATGCCGTCGTGTTCCTCAATCTTGCTTTGTAGCAAGGCCAACCCATGCACATTCATACCAATTGTGTCACGCATATCCTTAACGTCGCGCTGAAGCGAACGTACCAAACCACTAAGTAGAAGCTTCAAATTTTTTGCTGCACTAATTGGCTTCATATGCACTTTGAATAGGAAAATCGTTACTTTGCACAATAATTCAATCTGGTCACTGTGACATTCGATTAGGCGTGGAAGCCGTTCGAGAAGTTCGCAGACATTCGAAAAAGGCAGCAATAAGAGTGCTTCTTCCAAATCAGAGGCGCGTATACGCGCTAGGGTTGTGAAGACAAAATCGTCGGGGTTATCGACTTGCAGAGCGCGCATTAATGGATGCAACTCGGGTTTCTCATCTGCGTCTACATCAAATTGCTTACAAATCTCCAGACACTCCAATATGGACTCTGCAGCTTTCTCGGAGCCAACAGTTTTGCGCGAGGGTAACTTTAGGCCAGGTAGTTGAGGGACCGCACTATCTTCGCCCGTAGCGAGTTGTTGATTTTCCAGCTCTTCACGCTCTTCTTCTTGTACGTCTTTTAACACTATCGGTTCATCAGTGCGCTCGAAAAGACGAAGTGTGCGGTCTGAGCCACAAGTGACAAGATATTTACCATTTGGGCTAACCGCCAAACTGAAGGCCTCGCCAATATGGCCTGAAATGAAAAAAGTATTCAAAGATGACAAGATTTAAAATCTGCTTTCGAAAAATCCGCCTGCTTACCTGGAAGCGTCAAAATCTTTTCGAATGAGTCTGCATCCCATTGCTTTACTTTACCATCTTTACCGCAACTGAACAGCAAATGAGTATTGGGTATGAACTGCAGAGCCATTACTGAGTCGTCGTGCGCAAAGAGGGATCTGTGGCAGTCACCGAAATCCAATCCCCAAATTTTTATATTACGATCAGCTGAGCCTGTGGCTATCAATGTCGAGTCATAACTGATATCTAGACATAGAACTGGCAACTTATGCCCATAGAGCGACAAATAAAACTTAAAAGTGTCAAGGAAAAAAATTTTTACTGTTGAATCGAGTAAGCCCACTGCGAGATATTTCATATCAGGCGAAACTCGTACACACAAAACAGTCTCCTCCAATTTGAGTGTATTTCTGTGCAGTAATGAGAGCACTTTTGGTCGCGTGGCATCAACTAAACCACCGTCATCTGTGGCCACATTGTCTACCAATTCAAAAGTCCAAATTTTGACCGTCGAATCACTACTACCCGTCACACAGCCTTTCATATCTGGCAGTAGCGTAACCGACCATAACTCGCTTTCATGCGCTGGTATCTCCTCGATAATATCCGCTGCACCCACGTCAACTATCACCAACTTTCCGTTTTTCATACCCAATAACGCATAGCGATCCCCTGGCACGAAAGTGGTGCTCAATATGTAATCGGTAGGTATAGTACGCAGGCACTGCATAGAATCACGGTTCCAAAATTTGAACGACTCACCGGCACCTGAGCCAATAGCTAATGAATCGTTACTAAAGCATACAGAACGCATCTCTGATTGATGACCAAGACGCGTCAATGCGCGCAACTGCTTCACACTTTCTTCATTGTGTTTATGTTTTAGCGAAGCATTAAGACCATATAGTTGTAGGCAGTTATTTGCCAAACTAACGAGCACACGCAGTTCATTGTAAGCACCAAGTATTATGTCGATTGATTTTATTTTTTGCTTTACTTTGATGCTTTCCAATCGCTTTATCTCGTCACTGAGGCTTAAACTTTTTGAAATCAAATCTTCTTTTTCTTTGTCACTGTGTTCCATTGGCTCGGCAGCTTTGCGTCCTTTTTTCAGACGCTTAGCTAGCCTCGCTTTAGCTTCCTCCTCAGTGCAGAAGTAAAAATTTTCGATAAGGTCATTTGTGCCATGACAACTGACCACACGCTCAGCCTGATCTGAGACTAAATTTACACAACGTCCCTTTCCTGCTCGTTGTATAGCGCCACAATTAGTAACCGTTATAGGGCTAATAGAATCTTCATCGTCTATGCTCAAACCTTCAACGGCATTTTCAACACTTTGAGTTGGGTCGTCACGTCGACGTAAACGATAAACGTTCATGGCGCTTTCGCTACAACCTGCGATCATAAGATCGCCTACCAAAGCTAATGCCCAGACCTCAGTACGATTATCAACAATTGTTTTGAAACAGAATTGGGTTTCCAAATTCCAGAATTTTATTTGTGTGTCCTTCGAACAGCTAACCACAAGATTTTGCTCTCCAAAACGATGAAGAAAGTGAGCATCAGTTATTGGGGCATTGTGGCCTATGAGACGCTGACGACCAGCCTGTTCTACAATATCCACAACTACCAATTCCGTATCAAGGCTGCCGCTTATCAATCGAATGCCCATTTCGTCGAATCGCAGAATAGACACTGCACTCTTATGTAAAGCGAATGTACATGCAGACTGCTCTGGAGCTCGCAAATCAAATAGTTCTACCACCCCATCAATATAACCCACAGCAACATGTATGCGATCGGGAGAGGCTCGAATTGCTGTTACCTCCTGTTTGTCACGGCGCAACGTCAAAGCCCGTTCGCCCAATCTGTGAAAATTTAAATTTGCAACTACCTAGCTGTATAAATTATTCAGACTAGTTTCTTACCGCAAATCCCAAACAATTACATTCTCAGCAGCTGCAGACAGCGCATATCGTCCTTCAGTTCTATTGTAAATAACAAAATTCACATTGGCCCTACCACTGGTAATGATGTTGAAACTGTCCACGGGCCGAAAGGCCAAATACTGTTTCGTCAAACCCATAGAATATTTGTATTGTACTTAATTATTTGTTTTTTGGGTGGGGTGCAAAATACTATTGTTTTATTTAATTTCAATTTCAAATACCTTGCACGTGTTTTGGTTTTTGTTTTGGTTTTTTTTTTCTAGGGATGAAACGATACGAGTAAATACATGTACATGCTCGTCACTTTTCGATCGATACCAAGTAATTTTTGTATCGATACTTTTGAACCATGATTCAATACTACAAGGTTCGATAAACTGACAGTTGTCTATCTCGCACCGCTCCCTTAGCAGTGGCACCGTGTTGCTTCTTTGCACATTTAAGGCCTGTATGCAGCTCTCAAGAAAAGCAAAAACTCCATATAAAATGACGTAACAGAAATGGCTAAGAAATTATCTTGAGTCAAATTTCCTGCAGACAGTACGCAGTTCTTAAGATATTTGGTACGCTTTCTACTACGGTTTTCTAAAGTTTTTTGTTAAAAAGAGCACAAGGCGACCCATGTTTGCAACAGAAATATATGTCCGTTATATTATTCCTTGAGGAAAGAGGGAGCCAACAGGCTAGTGAAGTATAAGTTGTCAAAACTCCTTGGGCACACACACGAAATAATGGCAATTTTTTCTTGACAGTTTTCTCGAGAGCTGCATACCTGGCTTTACATGGAAACAGTGTAGCTTTGGTGTGAAATAGAAATACGAGCGTTTCTGCAATATGTTTATTTGTATATGCATATGAAGCATATTTAACTGATGAAAACATAAACTGTTTTTAAATTGAATGTTTACATCAATCTCATAGTAGTCTTATTTTAATTTAGAGTCATTTTGCAGTTTTTATACAGCTAAATAGCACATAAATTACGTAATTCACATAGATACATCAATATTACGTTCAACATTTCGTTTAAAATGCCAGATTTCCTGCAAGTACATTAGAATTTACAAAAGGAATCTCACTACTAATTGCCTACTTTGCGTACTTTTCTACTACCATTTTCCCGCCAAGCGATTTCATTCCTCCCGTTTTCTCCGTCCTTCGTAAATGCAACCTTTTGTAAGGGAGTGACAAACCGCAGCTGTCGACATAACACCGACCTCACCTTGTGTTATTGAATCATGCTTTTGAACCAAGTACTGAGTAGGTTTCGAAAAAGAAATACTCATATGGAGACCCGATACTAGAGCAATTTTGGCTTCGGCAATTTTTCCTCCCCTGTTATTCCAATATGAAGCTCTGAACACATTGAAAACGACGAGCTGCCGGCCGCAGCTTCCAATTTGTTATCTTTATTATCTAAACGCCTTGTCAATTAAGACATGATTTTTTTGAACGCGGCAGCGACATCATGAATTTGTATGACTTTGACATAAAAGAAGAGGAAGAACCTTATCTGTCTCTGGAAAAATAGAAATAGGTCGAATCTGGCCACGACCACAGTCGTCGCGTAGCCCGGTCGTCGCCAAAATAATTATCTACATAAGAGTATAGCTGGAATTAGTCAAGAACGCAGAACGTATACTTAAACGCTGGCCATATACGCAGAATTTTGTCGATTACTGTAGCTCTCAGTGTTGCTTACTACAGTGTTGCCACTTATCAATGCCTTTTCATATACTTACCTTTTCAACTACAAGTTTTCGCGCTATAATAGATTTTAGCTAAATATAAACTACTTAGTTTTCAACAAAAACCTTATTCAATAGTAAATTTCAAATATTTCAAACATATTTTGAATAGGAACTTTTAGCTTTTTTACCATCTGCAAAACTGACGAAGTGGCAACCATCTATAGAAGGAAGAAATCAGCTGACAC